CTCGTTCGTGTCTTTCAGCCGGGGCTACGTGACATCCTCGTTAAAATATAACCGCCAGCACGCCGTGTCTATAGAGCTCCACAGGTCGCACCGACTCCGTGCGACAGGTCGATTCGGAACAGAATGGAACGGAATGAAATCTATTCTTCGAGACGCACAGCTGAACGGACGGGCTCCATCGGATTTAGCATCGTAATGTGAGGTTCGAATTACTTTTGTAATTGAGGCCATTAGATCGCAACTTAAGAATGTCTCATCAGAGTACTTCCGTCACAAACTTCTTATGACCGAAGTATCGTTATTTTTATAACGAAGAGATTATTAGTAGAATATTCTGGCATAAAACTCGAGATTTATTTCCAATAATTAACATCGTGATATTAAATGTTAGTAGAAAGAGAGAGAGAGAGAGAGAGAGAGAGAAGAGTAAGAAGATAGATGATAAAATCTTTTTTGCAATTAACTCCGATTAGACTCTAACAAAGATATTTCCGGAGCCTTATAAAAATAAATAAAAAGTTAATTCATTTTTTGCTAAAATAAGAATTTCACAAAGAAATCAATAATTAAATGCAGATGATTTCTGTCGCAATTTGTATAAAACAGTAGTAATAATAATTATAATAATGACAATCGGATATTAAGCGAGTTTGATAAGAAAGATAAAAGGGAAAAAAACAGGAAGAAAAGTGATGGACGTAATATATATCGTAATATATACTATAATCGTAATATACAATAGATAGACGGAATAAATTTAATATTTCTAAGCATTCAAATATGTGACATGCAAAACGATAATTAACAATTAATGTGCTGTTTATTGTACCATTAAACAAATATACAAAATATAACAGCCAGTAAACACCAACTAAAGTAATATAACATAAATGTAATAATTTTGCACTCAACAACATAACTCTTATATAACGCATGTGTTACATTACATTTATATTGTTAAGTGTGAAATTATAACATTAATGTTACTGTTAATTGGAATTAAATGGGGAATTATTTCTTTGCATACGTTACAAATACAATATTGGATTATATTTATGAAATATGAACAAAATAACACCTACTCTCGCATCTTTAGAGGAGAAAAGAAAATAGACGCGGCGTCTTCTCTCTGATTTTTCAGTGTGGTTCAGTCATTCCAGATTTTGCCTCATTTATCTACACTGTCTATTGGAGAGGTCGTTTGTCACTACAGTTACAAGCTAGAACAGAAAAATCGGCTTTCACGTAAAGAGATATAAAGGAGAAAGGAGAGAGAGAGAGAGAGAGAGAGAGAGAGAGAGAGAAAAGAAAGCAGATC